CCCTGCAAGGTTCAAGGCCAGGCTGGATGGAGCCCAGAGCAGCCTGATCTAGTGGGAGATGTCCCTGCCATGGCAGGGGGTTGGAACTAGGTGATCTTTGAGATCCCTTCCAACACAAATCATTCCATGATTCTATGATTACATGAACCCACTAGAAAAATTTTTAGGGAATTTAGTAAGTAATCACAAAATCAATATTGTCATTATTTTTCATTATCCATGTTTGCATTGCATAGATTATATAGCATTATTTTATATTTAAAACAATTTAAAATAATTGTAAAGGTTCCACAATTTACAGATCAGAATTATATACAGATAATTTTTGTCTATTTATTGACTTTGAGTAACTTTTTTATTTATTTTTTCAAAATACAGAACTCTTGATCTGCAGTCTAAGCTAATCATTGCCGTGGATGTTGCCAAAGGCATGGAGTACCTTCACAACCTCACTCAACCAATCATACACCGTGATCTGAACAGGTAAGTTGCTTTCTTTGGCCTAAAACTTCAGGGGCCACAGCAGCTGTGGGTGTGCAGCCCCCTGCGGGTGTGCCAGACCCCCGGGGAAGGGCTGGCATTGCCGCACTGGGCTTCGCCCTCACTGGAGGCTTTAGTGCATTCTGGTTAAACGACCCAGCAGACCATAGTCAACGTCATGCGCGCAGCAATTTCACTAGCAGATCTCCTACCTAAATTTACAAAATGTTTATACCTTATCTGCACATACGCTAGTCCTGTGGGATAGTCTTTATGCAATTTATGTTCTCTATTACAGCTTTTTGAATCCAAAACATTAATTAATTAATTTCACCTATTTTTGCCCCTCTAAGAACCAAGTGCCTGATTTAAACTAGTCACTGGTGCCTCTAAGGTTGGTGCAGAGGTGAGAGAAGCCTTCTGGAAGGCACAGCCTGCCCTTTGTCTCCAGGGAAGGGAGGACCCTTGGCTGAGGCCGTGCCTGTCCCCAGGCAGGAGAAGTCGTCCAGCCTGGACCGAGTGCTTGTGCCGAGACCCACAGAGCCCTGGGAGGTAAATCCCAGCCCAGGAGCCGCTGGCGGTGCCACTACCATAAAAACCGAGTCGGGCGTGCAGCTGTCCCTCTGGAAATGAAACCCAACAAACCCCTCCGAGTCACGTTTGCTGAACTGTAGTTGTGGTTGAAGGATGCAGCTGCTAAAAACTGGTATTTGCTTGCCTCTGGCCCACCAATGTTCAGCCTTTGTTAGAAGCAAGAACCTCACCTTCTCTGCTGAGGTGGCCTTTTGTGTCGTGTCTACGGCAGAAATGGCTCAAAGTGGCCATCCTGCACTAGCTTCTGCTGTGGAAATGGGCAAACCAAAACTACCTGTAGATGTATTTAAAGAAGAGCAACCAGGTCAGCGCGGAATAGCTGCTGTGCTTTCCAGCCGCCATAGTTTGCTTGGGAACAGCTCCTGCTGTGTGCGAGCACTGTGACAAGAAAGCTTCTACAGAAAAGGTTTCTTAGAAGTGGGATGGAGTGAGTCACGAAAAGGGTTTCCTCAGTGTCAGATACAAACCTCTTCATCTTCCACTAGCTTAACTACTTGTTTTTAAATAAATCACAGAAATGTTCATATTGTTTATATCTCAAGTGACCAGTCCTATAGAGTGGTGGTGATACAACAAATCCCACTCTCTGCATCTCAGAGGTGCAAGCCAAAGCCCATGAGCTCCAGGTCCTGTCTCCAGCAGTGACCCATGGTGACAAATTTGAGAGCCAGGCAGGTCTATAATGATAACATCTTGAATTCTCTCTCAGTGCCCAAGAACTTTGGGTTCAAAGGGATGCTTTCAAAAATTAGTACCTCCACTTGCAGTCATTTTTTAAACAAAAAGATAACTCTTGTTGTTGCAAAAGAAAAAAAAAATCCTTGCAGACTGAAGAAGAAAGTCAGATCACTAATGCAAAAGAAACTGCACAGCCTGCAAACCACATCACTGCAAGCCAGACTTGTGGGGTTTGTGTGCCCTGGGTCAGCAATATTGGCACAAATTCTGCTTTATACTCTGACCGCAAGTTGGAGCCCACTTTGCTTTATTCGTCTGCTCCCAGGTAAGAGTGCATCCGTCTGCTCACGTTGGAACCGCTACAGGCACGTAGAAGTGGCTGCTGTTACCCATCACCAGTTACATACCCAGTTTATTTCGATGTGCAGATATGGTGTTTCTGTGTGATTAGGATCCATGTATGGCGTTCAGAAGGACATTGCTGATGTGCTATTCTTATCCATGCATATAGACTATGTGGAGGCTTAATCTAAGTACATTCATTTGAGAACTCTCAGGTAGTTTTCAGCACAGCACTGTGCTTTCAGATAACACTTTTTCACTTTCTTTCATTACTTCATCTCCTTTCCTTTGTTTTGTCTTTTTTGCTTTAAATATTTTCCCATAACGACTGAGTTCATCTGACAGTTTCTTGGTTTGTTTGGCCCATCTGTTACAGATAAAAGCATCTCTGACTGGATCATTTCTAAGAGCTAAAATCTAGTGCAGGGCTGTCCCCTCACTTCATTTCTTTGGTGTTACCCAGGTGGAAGCACCAGGTTCTCAGTATGCAGAGAAAAAGCTGTTCTTGCTGTTCTAGCTGTGATACTAGTCCCTTGAGGTGCATATTTCAGCGAAGGCTGCTGAAATACCTAAATATATTGAAATGTGAGTTTTAGATGAAGATAATCCTCTTGCTAAAGACCTGATTCCTAGTTCTGGTCCTTCAGTTCTGGCCCAAGTCAGGGTCGCTAACAGTTTCTGAAGAGATACCTTTACCCTTTTGGCAAATCAGTCTTAACCTGTCTTGTATGACAAGGTCTGGATTAAGAGCAAAGAGAAACTATTGATATCACAGGCTTTCAGTATAGTAAATTGGGAGGAAAAGCTTGGCACTGAACAGAGTTTTTTTACATTAACCTTTCAATCTCAAAACCAAAAAAAAAGAAGCTATTGATAGGAGCAACGGCCCTCCACCAGTTCGAGAGGTTTTTGTAGATGTTACAGAAACAAGCTGTTTAAGCCAAGCCTGGTGAGTGTCCATTTTTTAAAATATAAACCAGATTAGCTAGGATTTGCTGTGCAAGAAAGCAAACTGAGCATCAACCTACAAAAAAGATGGGCTGGAAAAATGTCTTCTTACTACCCCATTTTTCTTTTTCCATGATTGTACTTGCCTGATCTCTCCATCTCATCCCATCCATGTGCACCACCTCCCGTCCTTCCCCTTAACAGCCAAGGTACCTTCTGCTCACCCCCTGGCTCTGACCTCCACTTCCTCACTGAGCCTCCTTCCCACCCCTGCGTCCCTGCACGGGTTCTTTTTGGGCCACCAATCCCCAGAGCTCAGAGGGAGAAGCTCTTTTGAAGCAGTTCAGCTTTTTGCCTCATCACTGCTGGCTATTAAAAAATAGTTCTGCACTGAAGTATTTTAAATAATGTTTTTGACAAAAGAAAACCCCAAACAGCATCTCACTAGAGAGATGAAAAGCATATCATTGCCTCACAGAACTTTTACCAGATCATATCTGCGAGGGTCAGAAGATAATTTGCTATAAGGACGTCAGCGGGTTGATGTGTCCTGCTGGGAGTAGCTTAACTTCTGAAACTTTTTATTGTGAGAGCAGAAGTAGTGTTTTCAGCGTGAGTCCCAATCAGCCCACGGGCACAGTTATTACATGAAAATCTTTACAACAACTTAAGAGGAAGACCAAGAGTGAAGTTATGTGTTAAGTTTTGCCAGTGGCTTCACGGGATCCTCAAATTTTTTACCTTAAATTTTCACATAGCTTGTAACCCTCTTTGTGCGTTCTGAAATCTAATGCAATGCACATAATGCATTAAATAAATCTGCAATATGACTTGACAGAGCAGAGGAGAAAATGAATCTTTCATGTCTCTACCCTGGAAAAGGGGTTATCCTTCCATTTTGAGAATAGTTGGGAGTTTTATTTTGCTTTCCAACTCTGGAAAAAGAAGTTCTGACAGCTATCAGCAATGGTGACATGTATCAGCTTATTACTACTCGCACCGTATGAGGGATTGCAGCCACGATGATTATAGCGCTTTAATAAAAAGGAGACCATTTTAGTATCAATTTAATTTAAGCCATAGCAGGTGAACATGGCTGGACCAAGCCTTTGAGCGACTAAACTTCGTTTGATGGCTCTAACTCTCTGTAAAAGTTTCTGAGCGCTGACTTAGTGAGAGAGATGAAAGAGAGGATGGAAGCCTGGTGGTAATGGGGATGGTGTCTGCAGCTCCTCTTTGTTATAAAACCCCTCATGAAACCTTAAAATAGCAGTTGCCTTTCATTAAGCCTGCAGCATGTTGAAGGCAGACGGCTCTTCTCCTGGCCCTGCTCCCGGGGAAGGGGACACGCGCCGCAAGTCAAGGGAGAGAAACTCTTTCACTGGGCAGCCCCGCGAAACCTCCCGCTTCTGCAAAAGCTGGCATCCTTACACGTTTCGAGTTCTTTTCTTGGTTTTCTCCTTCTGTGATTTCATGAAGGGACTGAGGCTTGGTCTCACCATTTCAAACTCTGTGTGGCCTTAACAGAAGACAATTCGTTTCTGGTTCTGCTGAGCTCATTATTGACATCCTGCCAGATCAGATCAGATTTATCTTGCTGTATTTCTCAAAGCAGAGGCTTCAGAGTTCCTCTCTCGTCTCTAGTTCTCAAATTTCCAAGTGCCACTGAGGCATTGATAGTGTTTGTGAGCCTGTACCTTCTAAGCCCTATTTCTGTGGGTCGTATTTTTCACTCTAGAAAAGAACCATTAGGAACTGTGCTGTTCACTGGCGGTACCAGACCAACAAAATCCTTCCAAAACCCTCCTGCTTTCGGGAATGTCCACTCTCTGACACCGAGAGGGGCATCCCAGCGTTGTTTTGTCAGAAAGACGCGTGCCGTGCATGGAGAGGGGTCTCTTTATGGATTTCTCAGCTTCCCCATGAAAAGTCAGTCCAGGTCTGCCCATGAGTATTGTCAAGTTCGAGGTCTGTATAATCCTGGAGTAGCCTGAAATTGAAGCTAGGGCTCAATACATTTAATTCATGGTGACAATTTTTGTCCCTGTTGACAGAGGTCACATTTGAACCAAGACCACAGAAAATTCTGTCATCTTTTATGATTCCTGTGCCTACATCCAACCCAGGCTACGACCTTCAAAAGTCCCTCTAGTTCAGCCTTGTGTTTGATTAGTATTTTCGTTGGATATCTGTTGGGGTTCTCGAAACAATTCCAAATGTCATTCTCAAATCATTCAAATATTTTGATGGAAGGTATGTATGGGAGCTAAAATCAGATCACATATAAACTAAAAGAGTCATGGCTACATTGTATGAACTCACTACACTGTTCATGATTAAATTTATCATCCCAAGGTTTGGATTAGATGAAGCCAGAAATCTTAAGGACAGTGATTTGTGGGAGTCCTGGCTGTGAGAGCTTAAATTTCCTCTGTCCTAAA